TCAGTGTTCCGTAAAAACGAGAAAACCATAGCCAAACGCCAGGACAAAAAAAAAAAAAAGAAAAAAAAAAAGGGCAACAGAAGTAGTCGCTTGGCGGGCACTGTCATCGCTGATAAACTGTCGAGCCGGTGCTCCGTGTCGATAAAACCCATCGATCCCGGAGCCCTCCTTCCTGCAAAATGTGCTTGGTCGGTTTACTAGGCTGCGTGCAGAACGTCGCTTAGTTTCAGCCAGCTCCCCTGATTGATTTTTGCTTATCCAAAAAGCCGCTAACCGCGACCGCATGAATTGATAGCGAAGGGACGTCCAAAGCTTGTGGTAGCTTTGCGTGGCTTTAGTGTCGAAAAAAAAAAAAGAAGTTAAGGCAGCGCGGAAAGTAGTTTTGAACATACAACGCGGTCGCAGTAGGTTTGTTTCGTGTTTTAGGGTTTATTTTCCTTCAAAGTCGAAGATGTTTTCTCTGGGTTTATTTTTTTTTTCTTTCCTACAATATCAATGTTTGTTTTTTCCTTTTTTTTTTTCTTTTTTTTTTGTGAGGGGTGTGTGTTTATTTTGGTTATTGGACGAAAATTGCCGTTTATTGTGGTTTATGCCAAAGAACACAGGACACGGGGGTGGAATTTCCCAACCTGCAGGCTGCAGGGAAAGTACACGTGAGCCGAATACTTGAAAGTCGCTAACCGCGAGTGGACTACCAATAAGAGGAGCAAACAAGCAAAGCCTTGCCAAAATAAAAAAGCAGCACGAGGACAATCTAGTACGGTCCGGGTCAACACAAAATAAAGCTAAGAATAAAGATTTCTTCCCGCGAACTTTGGGTGTGTCATATTCAAAAACAGCTCCAAATCTAGGGGTTTCGCTTTTCTTTCTGCGATTCCGAAAAAAAACGATTTTTTTTTTTGGGGGGGGGGGGGGGGGGGGTAATTTTTGGTGTTTATCGGTATTTACTCAAAACACAAAACTACGGTTATAGCTCTACAATATATTTTCGTGGCGCAGCACACGTTATGTGCACTTTCAACCTTGGCTGAAAAACGCCGGCACAAATTGACGTTAGAACACGTGACATCGTCTGCTAATCGCGATCTGCGGCAGTTAACTTTACTCGATCTTTCTCTGTTGTCGAAAGCGACATACTGCTTGAAAATAAAGAAAAAGAAAGATGCGCATTTCCCACATAATGATCATCGAAGATGAACTCCAAAAAACTATATAGCAAAAGCCTGTACTTGGCTCGCGATCCCTTGAAACATTATTCGAATTTAAACTGCTAGTTTTATTTCTCTCAAACCAAAGTTGGCGTGTGTAACAATGATACTTGTTTCCGGAAACTCATGAAATTATTTTCCTTATAACCGACATTGATATTCGTGGGAAATTAGGTCGTTCCAGTAATGTGAAGTTTTCGAGCGCCATTACTACAGTCAGGAGAGTTACCGCAGTCGCGCCTAAGCGTGGCCTGTGTATTATTGGGACGGTCTGTTAAAAATGAATAAGGTTTTATTTATTTATTTATTTATTTATTTTACCCTCAAGGCATCAGAGAGGGGAGTGGGAACATAGTACATATTAACTCAAAATTTTTAAAAAGCAAAAGTGTACATTCTTCTATCATACTGTTAAAAATATTCACCCAATCGCTAGATCTCGGTGTCCTCCCAGACGATTGGAAAGTTGGGAAGGTGGTTGCGTTGCACAAAGGAGGTGATAAAAATACCCCTAACAACTATAGACCAATTTCACTCACTAGCATACCGTGTAAAATACTTGAACATGTTTTTTGTTCTCAGCTTGTTAATTTTTTAGAGTCTAACATGCGTTTCAACGCGGCTCAACGTGGATTTCGAAAATCGTTTTTCTGCGAGACGCAGCTTTTATTATTTATTAACAACTTGCACTCTGTTTTTAATAGGGGGTTCCAGATAGACTGCGTATTTTTAGATTTCTCGAAGGCGTTCGATAAAGTCTCACACCAGTTCCTTTTGTAGAAACTAAATAACGTTCGCATTGATGCTAACGTTATGGCTTAGATCCAGTGCTTTCTTACTAACCAATTCCAGTTCGTTACCGCCAATAACCATACATCTCCGCTCGCGTCAGTGATCTCCGGCGTGCCTCAGGGTTCTGTACTATAGGCCCACTTCTGTTTTTAATTTCATTAATGACCTGCCGAATAACATTTCTTTCTCAATTAACCTTTTTGCAGATGATTGTGTCATTCACCGTGAAATTAATGATGACTCAGATGTTGTCAAGCTCCAGACAGACATTAACGTTATTCTTCATTGGTGTGAAACTTGGCATATGGAGCTTAACACAACTAAGTGCAAAGTAATGAGAGTGTCTCGTAATCATTCAGTTTTTCCCTGCTACTGTCTTAACAATGTTCCTTTACTTTCTGTGTCGTCTTACAAGTGCCTGGGACTACACATAACATCTGATTTTTCCTGGAAAATATATATTGGATACGTTACTAGTAATGCTAATGCATGCTTGGCTATTGAAAACGTAATTTTTCTTTAGCTCCCTCCTCTTTGAAATTAACTCTTTACAAAACACGCTCAAAGCTTGAATACGCGTCGTTTATCTGGGACCCGAGCCTTTTAAATTTGGTTAACCCCCTAGAAGCTGTTCAAAATCGTTCCGCTCGTTTTATCCTCAGTAATTATCAACGCATTGCAAGTGTCACCTCTAAGAAATTTAACTTATCTTTGTCTATTCTTGCCTCACGCCGTTTGTGTCTCTTCCATAAAGTTCACACTAACTCATTCCTAAGTCAACGTCTCCTCACACCACCTTTCTATGTTTCATCCCGTCTTGATCATCCTCATAAAGTAGGTGTACCACTATGTAGCACGAACACATTTCAACAATTTTTCATTCCCAAAACTTCTTTGGATTGGAACCGCCTTCCCACTCCCATCGCCATAATCCAGGCGGATGATTTGTTTAAAACTGCTGTTTCTAATTTCTATTGTTCATAACTAATATGTGCTTTCCCTTTAAAATTTTCATAGTATAATTTTTCTTGTTGTATACAACCTACTCCTCTCTGTAATGCCGTTGGCCCTGAGGGCATTGAAATAAATAAATAAATGATAATACAAATGGAACAAAATGTACAATACTTAAAGAGCAGGGAACATGAAATTGGCAATAGATGTACAATAAAGTGCGTGGTTATTGATGGATGTGAGCGATGCGGGTAAGCGATTCCAGTCGTTCAGAGTTCTGGGAATAAAATAGTCATAATAAACGTTAGAGTGGCGAAATGGGACACCGACTTTGTGACGATCATCAAGGCGTGCTGAAACAAAGTAGTGTGTGGGGGGGGGGGGGGGGGGGGGGGGGGTGATTAGTTGTGATTTAAGCTGAGGAATATGGGGATAGATTTTATGAAAAAGACAAATACAAGAGACTGTGCGACGATGTGCGAGGCTTGGGAGTAACCAAATATATCTTTCATTGATCGTGCGCTTGCGGTGCGGTTATAATTGGCCATTATGAAGCGTGCAGTTCTGTTCTGAATACCTTCAAGTGAATCAATGAGGTAAAGGGTAGAGGGATCCCAGATGGAATCTGCATACTCTAGCTTGGACCTAACTAGAGTTTTATAAAGGAATAGTTTTAATGATAATGGGGAGTTACGTTTGAGAAAACCAAGCACTCGATTGGCGTTGTTAGTCATATTGTTCATATGAACTTTCTAGGAAAGGTCAGTACTTAAAGTCACGCCAAGATACTTGTATGAGCTAACAAGCTCTAAAGGTGTGTTATTAATACTATAAGCAAAATTGAAGTTGACTTTACGTGTTATGGACATTATTTTACATTTGTTAATATTGAGCTCCGTTGACCAGACTTCATTCACACAAGTGTAGTATGGAATCCAGGTCATGTTGTAGTTTTTGTGAGTCAGAGTCATTATAGGGGTATATTACTTAATAAATAGCACAGTCGTCAGCAAATAGTTTGAGTGAAGAAGAGTCCACCACATGCAAGTCATTAATATAAAAGAAAAAGAGTAGAGCTACGTGTCCAGCGCATGGGCAGAGCGGGAAATGTTGTAAAGGTCGAGGGCTACAGATATGGGTGCCTTATTCCATCGTTATGGATGAAAAATCTTCCCGATTCCGTGCTACCGTTTTTGCGCGACCTGACGTGCATTGCATGCAAATTCATACGGCCCACAAAATCAGGCCGGCACGGCGAAAAGAGCAGCGAAGGAACGGGATCGATTCTGCGACCCTTTGGCCGGCACCGCGAGGAAACCGTTCTAGCGCTCTATAAACCTCCGATCTATTTGTCAACGCTCGTTTCCGCGCGAGTTGTATCCCTTAACAACAGGGATAAGAGCGATCACTCGCGACTTCTAACCAGTTGGTTCGGGAGGCGCGTTACCGATCCGGGGCTGCGCTTCGAAGCATGCCGTCCTAATGGAAGCGTGGGCATAGAGTTCCACGAGAACACGATATTCTAAAGTTTCCCGAGGGTATCATCCACCTTGTTCACATGTGTACACGAACGTTCACACGTGTTCTTCAGTCCACGATAACACCGTAAGAAATGCCAGCGCACCTAATTTCCCGCCAATCACTCGGAGAACCAATCACAGCGATCGACGAAGTGAGCTCGGCGAAAGGCGAAGCGGAAAGTATGTTTAGACCTAAAAATTAACTCTACGATGGGGCACTGATCAATGCGTAACGTTGTCGTCACATCACAGATTTCATTGCCAAGTCTCATACTTTCAACACGATTTCGCTCTCGTCGCTCGACAAGCTCCTCCATAGATCTCCCCATCCCTCTCCCCCAGCACAGAGCAGCCAAACGGGAAAAGTAGCCAGATTGCCTTCTCTCTCCCTCTTCTGTCTTTCCTTCCTTCCCTCCGTATAGATGCGATACGTTGCTGTGATTGGCTCTACGAGTGCACTGCGGGCATTCTTTAGGGTGAATGCAACTATACTAATCGTATTTCCTGCCCTGCTCGTTCTCCGCAGACTCCCGCTGCGTAGGGCGCGTGCCCCAGAGAGTCGCCGTGGCGGAAGTGGCGCCAGCCGGCGGGATGACTCGCGTGGGCAACCAGACCAACAGCACGGACCCGGCGGCCGTCAATTCGCGCATCTTCGTGGGCAACCTGAACACGCACGTGGTCTCCAAGGAAGACGTGGAGCGCCTCTTCAAGCGCTACGGCCGCATCATCGGCATCTCCATGCACAAGGGCTACGCCTTCGTCCAGTACACGGACACGTATGACGCCCGCAACGCGGTGCTCGGCGAGGACGGCCGCACCATTGCGGGCCAGATTCTCGGTGGGTTGGAGTGCACCTGACTTTCCCCTTGCCAAAAGCCGCTTTGGTCGAGCTTAGAGATACCACAGAGCTAACGGACTTTTTCCTTACTCAGTGGCTGAATCCGCTCGAACGCGAACGCCACACGCTGGTCGCCGGCGTTTGGCATTCGTACGCGTTCGAAGAGTGAGCAGACAGAGGCAGCTAGCTTGGAGTCGACCCGCTAAGCATTCCAGTCAGAAATCGGCTTTCTGGCGTCTCTTCCTCTCCCTGAGTTTCAACCCGTATAAGCTACGTCTATACTAATATTCACCTTCAAAACCGCAGCAAAAAAAAAAAAAAAAAAGAGAAAAAAAAAGTCCGGGTTTTTGGCTGAGCATTACTAATTTTCCCCTTGATACGTTGCATGAAGATACATGTTTTTTTTTCTTCATTTGTGTGTGTGTTTTTAAGCTTAGCAGATTTGTTAAAAAATAAAGCCGTGAAAACTACACTTATGTGGTTTGTGAAAGTGAGTTATACGGCCAGGGGGACATAGTATAATGGACTACTCGTAACGATCGGTCGGCTCAATATATAAAATTTGGTATGTAACTACTTAATTAGTAAAAATAGACATACGGTTCTAGTTAGAAACTCGCTGAGCGTCATCGAAAACCACTAAATTTGTTTTCAGAGAGTCTTTGAGCACGTCAGAAGCGCAGAAGTGCGCTAAAGTTCCCATTCGTGCAGCAGATACAAAGATAGCGGTGCGATAAGGTGACTGTGCGATGTTTCCTTTTCTGATCATAGCCCCAGCATTTTACGTGTTGTACGAGTGGTACCTTTTTTAGCGCCCTACTACGCTTTCCACGCGCTCAAAGTATTCCTAAAGATGATTGATTTAGTGGTTTTCGGTGACGCTCAACAAGTTTCTAAATGAAACCGTATGTTTATTTTCACCATTTAAAAAGTTATTTAACAAATTTGACTTAATTAGGCGACTGATTAGCCTCCTATACTATGTCCCCCTGGCCGTATAACTCACCTGCACAAACCCGATAAGCGTAGCTTTCACGGATTTTCCTTCGTTTTAAACAAATCTGTTAAACTTCAAAAATAAAAAGCAAAAAAAAAAAAAATCGCTATAGGTAGGTGCATTTTAGATTGGTCATACGTGATGTTATCAAGGCTTACGTTTAAAACGCCAAAATCATCTTCTCCTTTGCCGACAATCAAATCCCGTAAGAACTACTTCGCGGAGCGCATAAATAATGTGCACAACCTTTTTTTTTTCTTGATTGGACAACGAGCATATATACTCCGTTTCACACTTAGCGTGCAACGCTGTCAAGGCTACTGGCGCGAGCGCGTGGCTTCATCTATGGTTTTGTTTGCGCGAGAACGCGTGCAAATGATCAACGAGATCAAGCCCCATGCTCGCGCCAAAAGCTTTGACAGCGTTGCACACTAAGTATGAAACAGAGTATAGTATCGGCATTCAATTTCTCAGTGTACTCGCGGGCGCCGCCATTTTGGTGTTTGGTGAAGAGCAGGCGCCATTGGCGATCATTCCGATTCGAAAATGCGACCTCACGAGCGCCGGTGTCGGAAAGCGCAGGAGACGATGGCGTTTGGCTCGTCTTAAAATAAATAAATAAATAAAAATAAGGGTAAGTACAGTTTATAGAGTTGAGAAACAAAATGTGTAAGATTGTCCTGAGCAATCGGAAGTGGTAAATACTTTTCGAAATGCTTACCACCATAAGGCGCCATGCTTATTTTTTCCTGACTGACCGACTATAGTATGCCAGGTTTCCTTTTAAAATAAGAAATCTAAGTGGTTATAACTGTCTCTAATTTTTTTCGCGTGTTTTGCTTGTTTTTGTTTTGATAGAGTTATTTTCTAGAGATTCATATAAAACAGACTGACGTGAGAGAGCAATGGTCGTACAGAACCGCGTTTTCAATTCTCAGCTCTAGAGACGCGCGTTTATGCACACGTTTTAATTGCAACCGTGAAACAGGTCTCCCCAGTTTTGTCCTTAAATGCTCGTGAAATTAAACTAAACTTAAAAAAAAAAAAAAAAAAAAAAAGTTTTTTTTTTTTTTTTTCTAGCAGTCTGGTTGGGACAGGCGTGCCAAAAAATTAATTTTACGCGAAAAAAAAAATAATTAGAGCAATATTGACGGCGCGAGACGGTGATTTAGTCGGTAGTCACCTCCTTTCCACTTTTTTTTCTCTTCATTTCGGACGCGTGGAGGAGAGGTGGATCGGCTTGGCCATCACGTTGAGGTGGAGAGAGAGTATGACCATCTCGTTGAGGTGGGAAAAGCGTATGACCATTCCGTGACGTCATGGACTTTGCACGCACAATTTAAAATGAATCTCACGCCGTCAATATTGCTCTAAAAAAAACTTTTTTTGCGCGTAAAATTATTTTTTTGACTCGCGAGTCCCATCTAGACTGTTAAACAAAAAAAAAAAACTTTTTTTTTTTTCTTTTTAGGGGTTCTTTAAGGCAGCACGTTCGCATTCGCTTCGCGAATGCGGTTCAACAGCTATAGTATTTTTCGCATAAACTCTCGTTTCAACACACATAAAAGCAACAAAAAGAATGACTGCCGTTATACCAATTTTTTACGCTATGTCGCATTTTGCTATAATGACAGCTATTTTCGAATTACTCATTTATCATCACATCATTATAAATAAAAAAAAAAGGATGCAATCCCTGTTTTTTAAGTATATATTCAACTAAAGTTACATTTAGTAGTTTCTTTATGACTATGAAACCTTGTTGGACGATTCCAAAATATTGTACAGTTATATCGCATTAATATGGACACCTCCGTTTCCCCCCAGAAAGCGTCCATGATGTGAGTGGTCCATAATGACGAGACGAAAAAGCATGCATATATCCAATTCGTTTCCAAAAATATTGTCTAAGATGTGATCAAAAAGCTCGCGAGACTGATTTTGTAGTGTAAAAAGAGAGGGCAGCACAGTGGTGCGCGCGCAGCAGTCGAAGAAACGAACCTTCGTGCCTCGTCATACCAGAGGGCATCGCTCTGTGGGCAGTTGGAGTTGCGCTACATGAATTTTTGTGACCACGTGCATGGCCATAATGGCGGTTTTACTATAGACTACAAACCAGAGCGAGAGCGAACATCAATTCTGCGTCACACTCGGCAAATATTAAATAATATCAAAAGATAAATAGTAACCAGTACTTGCATAAGTATTCAAAACTATGCGAAATAGAAGTGGCTTGCGTGGGTCTACACCCTTAATGCTCACGCTTATGTCGTTGAATCGTAAGAGACAAGTGGAAAAGATAAGGGAATCTATTAGGAACTAATACCCCTGCTTTGTAGGTACTTAAAAGGCCTTTAAAACGAACTCCCTGGCGGACCAAGGCACTCCGATGGGCACGCGTTAAGTCAAGATCGCGAGCTGATTCGCCACTTCCTTAAAGGAGTTTGTTCTGGAGGCCTTCTAAGTGCACGTAAAACAAAGGCTTTAAGCAACGATATTGGGTAGGAATGTTTCTCACTTTACACAAGACTACTCGGAGCAGTGCGACCTAAGTACACTCGCACTCAACAGCATTGACCAAGAAGCTTTTTTGTCGCCGCGTAATTTCAAAAATAAAAGCGGACGTGTTTTTTTTTTTTTTTTTGCAAAACATGATGACGAAGTTGCGGGGACAGCATTGTTGACGTTGTCAAAAAAGCGATCTCCAGGATTTCTTCATCACGTTTTGACATCACTGTCGTGACGTTATTAAACGCGGCGTATGCAGTGTACACGAGCACTGCGCGAGCGTTCGATCTGGGCTCGTGGCAGTCAATGTCTCGACATGCATTCAGAAATCTCCCAACCTTAACAACGTGTGGAACTCAGCGCGTGCCCTGTGCTTTACCGACCCCAGCGCGTGGCTATGATAAACACAGGCGGCATATAATCGACTCTAGATCACGTGGCCACCTGGCCTGGCTCCGAAGCTGCGAGTTGAGGGGGTGAACGCGGCTCGTTTTTATCGAATTATATCTGCGACTGGGATTGATAGGAAAGGGTAAGTGACTATGTATAAATCTAGATGAAGTGATGGACCCCAGAGAGAGACAAAAAACAACCAGCGCGTATTTCATAGGTTATAAATGTAAAGGAATAATCTAGAGCGGTATTTTCTGAAGGTACCAAATATTTTGCATCACCCCCTTAATGTTACTCCGACAGACGTCAGTTTAACTATCATTTAGCCAAAAGATATTTGAGCAATGGGTGAATCTGCTTGCGACGCTGGCTCTGAGCGTCGGCCAACCAGCGCACGCGCTGGTTGGCCGATTCTTAAATGGTAAATGGCTAAATGTCGTTTAGTTTTTCTTTTTTTTTTTTTTTTGGGGGGGGGGGGGGGGGGGGGAGGGGTGAGGACTAGGGTAATATATCCTGGGCCAGAAAAAAAAAATTAAAACTTAAGTGTTTACAGTTTGCTTTCGGATTCGGTGGGTCTGTATTCCGATAGGATGTATTAGCTGTGAAGTTGAACATACACTATTGCAATTCAAAAAATAGCGAAGCCTCGCAGAATTGTTTAGATAACCTACCGTGCCTTCATTGGAGTAAATAAGTTCCAATCTTTATTCGCGCATCGGAATTGAGGACTAAAGAATGTTGCTTCATGACTAAAGAAATAAATCAAGCGCACAAAAAGAAGCCGACGGAGCGGGAAGTAACCTCTCATCTTGTGTACTTCTCTTCCCAGCCCCCGTTTATTTTGTGCATGTGTGTGCGTGATTGATTATTTTACTCCAAACGACAACCAATCTTGAAAATGCAAACCAATAAATATTGCAAATATGCGAAGAACAAAATATACAGACGAATGTATTATCAAAGCAAGGCCTTTCGATTGTAACGAATGAAGAATGGACGGAGATATGAAAGAAAAATAATTTAACGAAACAAACCCGTGTCTGCAGATTAAAAAATAAAAAGGTAGCGCATATTACGCGATGGCGACAAAGCAGCCGACGGA